CATGGACCCTCGTAAAACTCTGTATATGTATCAATATATACTTGAATATGTGACCGCGAAGGGCGCGCGAAAGTCAGGGCGAAAGTTGCGCTAAAGAAAATTATATTTTCGTGAAGAAGTCCATTTCGGGGATATGTTAATTTAGATCCACGCCCATATAGATCTGTTCAGGCAGCCCTTTAAGGAACCCTTCGAAGGGATTTTTCTGAGGTCTGGTCATGGAGAAGGTGAATACCAAGGATGCTTTCCAGTGGCAGAGCATGTTGAAGTGCTACTGGAAGGAGGACGCTGGGGTTTGGGGTTTAGGACTGTGTCGTCTTCAGAGTTTGGCTCGAGGTTTAGCGCGGCGCTGTAAGGGCCTTTTTGGGGCATCCGAGTTTCAGCAAGTAAGGAGCCTACAAGGTAACTAGACCCTCAATAGTATCCTTATAACCCTCGTTGTGGGCTTCTTCTTTCTCCTTGCCGGATGCGGGAACGGCTCCCGCCAATCTCTGAATGCCCGAAGCTCCCCAGACCCTTAACCCAAAGCCCAAAACCCTCAGCTCTACAACCTGCTGGGATTTGCCCTAACTCCATGACGGCTCTCTGCCCGAAGACACTGAGCCATGAACATCTTGACTGTAAGGATTCCCTCCCTAAACCCTAGACTGTTTCACCTATAGATCCCTTTAAGGAGCACTAAAAGGGACCTCAAGATAAAGGCCGCAGGGTGTCAGAACGACCCATCTACGGAAGAAGCTAAACCCTAAACCCTGAACCCTGAACCCTAAAGCAGCACAGGACGTCGACGATGCATCCATGGAGATCGCAGACGCCAAGCTGCCCTACGGCTACGTGCCTTGCCTGCCGGTACCCGGAAGCCCTGAGATCCCTAAACCCTAAACCCTAAACCCTAAACCCTAAACCCTAAAACCCTAACCCCTAAACCGTGAAACCTTATTTTTCCATATGGTTGGGCTTTATCAAGTAGGAGAGTTCTGCATTTTATGCAGGATCTGTGAGGGTTCTACAAGGGTTTCATAAGGGCTACACAGGGGCTCTACTGGGATTTTTACAGCCCTTTTGGGGATTAAGGATGCCAGCTTTAGTAAGGGCTTCAATCACGAGGCTCTTGTTTCAGGGTTTAGGAAGGTTTCAGCAAGCTTGGAACTTAACTTCAAAACGCTTAGGACCTAGGAGCCAGGTTTTGGGGTTCAGGGTGTGGAGTTTAGGGTGTAGGAACCACCCAGCCCAACTCAACCTTGAAGCTCAAGCACATGGAAGCATTTAGTTGGATTTCGTATTTCTGATCCCGCCATACCCATGAGAAGCTTCAGCCCCAAAGCCCCCAAGAACCTAACTCCTAAAACCGAACAAAGACCCCAACCTCAAAAGCAAGCGCAGGGCATCCCGTTATGGAAGTATAGTAAGCGCTTACTTAGAACATATTGTAAGGCCCCCCAAAACCCTAAACCCTGAACCCCTAAACCCAAAAATGAGGAGTACCTGGGCAACGGCCCGCGCCTGGTGGTGACGCCACTGACGGACCGAATCTACGTCACAGCGACCCAGGCGCTCAGTCTGCCATGTTATAGTGTTTTTAATTTGGTGTTGGGGGTGTAGGGTGCAGGGTTTAAGGTTTAGGGTTAAGGTTTGTTGTTCAGGGTTAAGGGTTTAGGGCTCTGCTCGCTTCGGCTGGGCTGGTGTCCGTTACGAGGACATACTAAGGGTTTACAGCTTAGGCTTTGGAGTGTTCGGTGTCTTGGGGCCCAAGGTTTAATGTAAAGGTTAACCCTAAACCTCGAAACCTAAACCCTAATCCCTGAACCCAAAACCCAAAACCCTAAATCCTAAGCCCCCCCAATCCAACTTCGCATGTCGTGAGTCTCTTTGTGATTGCTGACTGCTCCCCGAGTCCTAAAAAATGCCGGTGAAAGACATAGCCTTCTGCAGAAGGCCGCAGCAGGACAAGACAGACTATAGGGGCCTTAATAGTTAGACAAGGGTTCGGGGGTATATTATACTATCATTACAACAAGGAGACCCCCCAAACCCAATTCTAATTGTGAAGGAAGGCCCCTACATTACATTCAGCCTTGGGTCAGGGTTTAAGGTCGGCAGAGCGTCTAGGGTTAATGTAGGGGCCTTATAAATAAGAATAGGTGTTTTTGGGTTCCTTGTTTTAATTACAGTAACATAGTGGGCCTCCGAAACCCTATTCTAATTATTAAGGCCCCTACATTAGGCCCTGAGCCCCGTGCCGAACCTTAAACTCAAATGATCCTAATAGCCCTGGGCAGCCCGAACCCTCTTAGTGTTTTGGACTGTGCAGTGCATGCAGTCGTATAGTCTAATATCTCACCCCAAGCTCATTTTTTGAGACTTATCTCTCTCTGTCTCTGTCTCTTCACCCTCTCTCTCTACCAAAAAAGTATCTAACACACTCTCTAGACGGGTAGATAGCTAGATAGCACAGTATACCCCCTTCAAAAACCTACATTACACTCTAGATCCTCTAGATCTCCAAAGGCCCTGCACTTGTGCATGGGCTGCGCGCCGGCGGGCCCTGCCGGCACCGGCAAGACAGAGTCGACCAAGGACAGGCTTCTAAAACCTGAAAGCTGAAGCCCCTACACCAGAAGTTTAGGGTTTAGGGTTTAGGGTTTAGATCCTAAACCGGTCCTCTGATGTTTGAAAGCTCAGTTTAGAGCTGAGTTGGCTTGAGGGGTGGGCTGACACTGTTGTAACTTGGGCCCGTTGTGGTATACTACCCTCACTACAGACACCCAGCACCCCAAACTCCTAAAGCTTATGCACATGTCCCTGAACCCTAAACCCTAAACCCTAAACCCTAAACCCGAATGTGTTGTTTGGGGTTCTGCGAGGATTGGGCTTCACTGATGGCGGGCTGAGGCGTAGGGGCCTGATGCTGTGTACACTTCAAGATCCGGGTGAGGATCCTGCCTACAATCCTTCCGCCTCCAATCCCCAAAACCCTTGAGGATGTAGAGTTAGGTTTAGGGTTTCATCAGGAACCCTGAGCCCCAAAACCCCCGAACCCCGCTCAATCCCAAACCCTAAACCGTAAACCCCCCAAACTGCTCCGACCCCAACTGAACCCCCGAAAGCCTCGCCAGGACTTGGCCAACGCTGTGGCGAAGGCGCCAAAGAGCTGAAGAAGTCCTTTTCATCCCTTGGACCACGTAGCGTAAGAAGGGGTTCTAGGGTTTAGGGTTTAGGGTCTCCACGATAAGCGTCCTTTTTGAAGGTTCTGTAAGGGATCAAATAGGGACTAACAAGGATTTTGGGCTCTAAGCCCTGACGCCCTAAAGTAAACCTCGACCATAACAACCATAAGCCAAGCCTCATATGGGTCGTTCTCTAAATTGGGGTCCCTTTTTAGGTCCCCAATATAGTACGGCACAAAAAGGGCCTTAAAGGGACCCTAATTTAGGAAACTACCCATATGCAGTCGAAGCAAATCTTGGTTCGTAAGTCTTATGATTCATAACCCTCAACCCTAAACCCTCTGGAGAAAAGGAGCCACTGCACTTAAAAACAAAAACCCTAAACCCTAAACCGTCATAAGACCTCGTCTGTCTCTTTCGCCAGGCTGGCGAGTTAGAGTTTAAAAAGGCTAGAAGTATGGGCCCATAATATGGACCCTTAGGCCCATACGGGTACATATAGGGTAGATAGTAGGGATCCCAGGGTTAAGGGCCCATACTAGGGGCCCTTAGAGAGTTAGTAAACCTTGCGGCACCATGCCCTTTATTTTCAAGTGTTTCTGACCCGAGCTTACCGGCTGGAGCCTCGCTGCTTAAGCTTAAACCCTCCATCCCTACGTTCATAAATTGAATACTCCAAGCGCTCCATCCCTAAACCTCATATTTCCAGCGGGTCGACAATGTCCATACCCTCCAAGCTTCAATCCTCTTCACCCAGGCCCGAAGTATATACGTCTTCAATCAGGGTTTAGGGTTCCGGGTTCCGAGGACACACTATCTCAAGTGCTACAATGTCCTGAGATGAACCTGCAAACTCCCGGAAACCACAGAGAGCCGATGTAGCGCCCTTCATCCGAAGAGGCTGGCGTGCGATAAACCCCTGGATGCTAGCTCTCTGCAGCCCATCCTTCATTGTAGTAGATGGTAGAATATTGTAGTATACTATAGTACTATGGTATCTATTATATGCTTCATCTTTACAGGTTCATAGCGCTGATTTTTCCCTGAAGTTTGTTGATTTATGTTTTTGTCTCCTGGAACTCTTGGTGGAAGCAAACATCTAAAAGGCCTGCTATGTCATCAATGCAGCACCGGAGATGGACTACCTGACTTTGGGCGACATCTACAAAGGCCGGGCTCTCGGGCTGGGGGCTTGGTTTGTGTTGGGGTCTTTGGGGTATGCTAGAGTTTCGGTTGTTGAGTTTGAAATGCTGGACTCCAGGGTATAGGGGTGTCGGAGTCTTATAGGTCTGCTGAACAAGCCCTCTGAGCGAAAAAGCCTTACAGCTCTTCCTTAAAGACGTAGACAACTTCTAGAATCCTCATAGAACCCCATCTAGAACAGCAAAGAACCCGAAGCTCTTTTGAACCTCGAGTATAACCTTTCTGGAACCCCAGAAACCCGATAGAACCCTCGAAAGAACCCCGACAAAGTCCTGAGCCCTATTTGGACCCCGAAGAACCTACCTTGTTCAGGACTCATACGATGAAATCACAACAACGAACCCGAAAACGGTAGGTTTTTGGGACACAGTTAAACCGTAAAACCCTAAAGAAGCCCCGAACCATGAACAAAAAGGCCACCTATACAGTAAAACCCTAAAAAGCCCTAAAAGCCCCTAAAACCCTAAAGCCCTCAACCCCTACACCTCAAACCCTAAACCCTAAACTTTAGGTCCTTAACCTACAGCCCTAAACAAAAACCTAGCTCAAAAGCCCGAACATGCTAAACCCCAAACCCCAAAAGGGCTATCGAGCCACTACCCTAAAACCCCTTAAAGTTTAAGGCCCTGAAGCCCAAACCCGAAAACCGCCCTAAACCCTAAACCCTAAACCCTACACCCTACACCCTAAACCTTGAACCC